AGAGAGAGAGAGAGAGAGAGAGATGTTGCAAGAGTTGGCACAAACAAGAAATTTGGAGATTTGGGCTCAAATGAGAGCGGTTGGGCTGACATTATTGTGTATTTCTTAGCTGAATTCGATCGGTCAGTGCGTCTGATGCGCCCATCTCCATACCCAGAAAAGCAGTTTGGTTTTGGACATATTTATATTATGCGATATTAATGAGCGTACAGACATGTGAATTTATCCTAACACATGCCGGGGGCTCTCGTTGTTGAGAGGTTACGTTGTTCGCCTCTCATTCAAAAGGTCCTGGTTTCGAATCCGAATTGCGACGCAAAATTTTTTTCTCTAAAAATTGTCTCCTTTCTCCTCCTTTCCTGCTCTCTATCAATATCCTGTCATCTGCTTTCGTCTCCACTTTCTGCCCCCCCCCCCCTTTTCACCTCCTTTGCCCCTTCCTCTGGGCTCCTGACTCTTTCTGTAGCTACTTCTACTCCTTGGCTCCTCCTTACTGCTGTCTTTCAGCCACACCCCTGATCTTATTGTAGATAAGATCTAACACCTAACCTTCTGGGATAGGGGCGAAAAATCTCGGAGTTACTGCGTGCAAGTTACACCCGTTAAAGGTCCCTTGGTGGTCTAAAATCGATAAGAGTAGGTTTAGGCCTCCACCAAGGCTAAATTCAAAATTGAAAATGTTTAATGTGTCCCGCGCGCTCATATTACATTATGCAGTTTCGAGAACCGTAAAACACTTACCAAAAATAAATAAATACATTATATGTTTAAACATTTACAGGTCCGTACTTGTGGATGACTGGTGGGTGCTCTGGTGTGGTTTGCTCCTTCTCTCCTATCAAACATCTGTTATCCCTATCTCTCCTCCTCCTTTATTTATATGATAGGTGCTACTATCTAGTATATAAAACCTATAATCTTGGACACTTTTATGACGTGATTGTGTTTCAAGTGCCTTTAGACTCTTACGAAAACTAAACTTAAGAGCCGTACTTACCGCCGTTTGTGCTGTAGCAGTTATGCTCATGGCTGTTGAACGCAACAGACGTGAGTTCGATTCCTGTGTAGGGGGAATTTTGATCGAGTATGTCTATTTTTATGTACAGAGACGTTGTACCCCTCTGAGCCTTGGTTGGTTGTTCCTGACAGTGCCATACAGGGCGGGAGTCCGCCTCCTAAATTATCCAAATTGTGTCAATGGGGGCGTAACTTGAACAATTTTTATTATGTTTTTG